CCACGCCCCACCCCCACCCCCTGGCCCGGAGAGGGTTTGGAGAAGAGGGAGGGGCACGACCAACACTGAGCTGGGGGGGTTGGAGTGGGTGGGGCCGCCTGGCGGCTCACCTGGGCCAAGCCCACAGCCTAGGGGCGGCTGTGGGCGTGGTCAGTAGGGGTGTCCCGGATCTTTGGGCCGCTTCAGCTGCACTTTCAGCCTCTTCATGCCGATCTGAAAGCCATTCATGGCTTGGATGGCGGTTTGTGCGCTGGCCGGGTTGTCAAAGCTCACGAAGCCTGCAGAGACCGGGGTGGACCCGCGATGGTGGGCAACGTGGGCGTCTTCCATTCGGCTTCCCAGCTCGCGGGGGTCCTAGGGGCGGGGTGTGCGCTCGCAGGGGCAGACAGCCCGCGGAGGTGCAAGGGCTTGCCAGAGGACACACAGCAGCTCTGGCCTGGTTCTGACACCCCTGGACTTGCATGCCTCTGGGGATGGGGCACTCATTCTCTACCTGGGGTTTGCTTTGCTGAGATTTCCCTTGTGGAGTTGGGGACAGGTGGAACCTCTGGGGGTCTGGGGAGGGGCACGTTCTCCCTCCCACCGGAATGCCTGCCTCCTTCTGGGCCCTGATGCTAACTAATCCTTTGCCTACTCTGAGACCTCTATTCATCTGGGATCTTGTCTGTCCATCTGACTATCTTTGTGTGTGCATGTCTTTGTCTCTTCTGTCTTTTTCCATCTCTCCTTCCTTCTCTCTCTGTCTCTATCTCTATCTCTGTCTCTCTGTCTCTGCCAGACTCTCTGCTCCTAGTCTCCCCCAAGACTCTCAGAAATACTTAAGCCTCCCCCTCCTTAAACTGCCCCCAGCCAAAACTCCCTCCACCTGCCACCTGAAGGCCACCTGGCCCTACTCCTGCCCCTTACCTCTCTGTCCTCACAGACTTCACAGACCATGTCGAGGCCACAGAGGCCAGGGGCCCTCCAGGGAGAAGGGACCACACAAGCATTTGGAGATGGGGCCACCGGAGCTCTATGTGAGAGGCCAAGTGGGAGGTCAGGCAGAGAGACAGTGGAGTCAAGGTTGAAGGGGTCCAGGGGGAGCCACAGGGGAATCTAGAGCTGGGGGGTTAATGTCATATTTATCTCCTCTAATGCCCCCCAATTATATAGATGAGCAAACTGAGGCTCAGAGAATGCATATGACCCCCCTGATTGTTGTAAGATTGAATAGGTTTTCCTCTAGAAATTTCCTCTTCCTCCTGGAAGCAGGTTACATAAGAGGGGGCCTGGGCACTAGTGGGAGTCCCATACTTGCTGGGTGACTTCAAGTGTGTCACCTGACCATTCTGTTCCTCTCTTTCTTCCCTCAGCAAAAAAGGGACAATTCTTCCCCTTTATGGCTGGATATGGAGTACATACAGAAGGCACTTAAACAGTCAAGTTAGCTCTTAGAAGAGGACAGGGTGGGGTTAACAGTCCAGATTTTGTAGTTAAACAGACTGGTTCTAATCTAGGTTCTGCCTCTTTGCAGCTGTGTGACTTTGAACAAGTGTCAGTGTCTCTTTGAGCCCTAATTTTCTGTTTCTGGGGACAAAGAAGTCCTCCCGAAAGTTCAAGACCCTTCATGACTTGCCCCTGTCCCTCACCTGCCCTTACCTCCTCCTCTCTCCCCATCACTCACTCTGTTCCATCCACACAGGCCTTCTCACTGTTCCTCCAACACACATAGTCCAGCCCCAGGCCTTTGCACATGTTGTTCCCCCTTCCTAGAACACTCTTCCTACAGATTTCCCCATGCTGGGCTCATCACTAGTCAGTTCTATTTTTCTTCATACCGATTATAATTCCCTGGCCTATATCCTATTTTTCCTTGTTTCCATCTCCTCCCCCTAAACCTGTGCTTTCCAATTCGGTAGCCACTGGCTCCAGTGGTTATTTAAATTTAAATTAATTAAAATTAAATAAAATTTAAAATTTAGTCCTTTGGTCACACTGGCCACATTTCAAGTGCTTGGTAGCCACATGGGGCTGATGGCTCAGAGAGGTCAGATGTAGAACATTGCTATCATCAGAGAAAGTTCTGCTGGACAGTACAGGAAGACTGTGAGCTTTCTGAGGGCAGGGGTTTGTAGGCTTCCTTTACCGCTATATGCCCAGTGCCAAGCAGAGCCTGGTACACAACAGGGACATAATATATGTATTTCTTGAATGAATGAATGAATGAATGAGACTTAGAAAGAATGTATAGCAAGTGCCTAGCACATAGTAGGTGCTTATTAAGTGCTCACTCTGATTATGAATGTGATTTTTTTTTTAAAAATGTGATTCTTTTGGACCAGGCCTGTCTCATGACTGACCAACCCCTCCCACCTCATCCCCCATCTTCTGTTCCAGGGTGAAGGGAGTGAGACAGGCTGGACAGCAGGAAGAGGTGCCCTCCAAGGTACTCACCAAAACATTTGCTCTGGTTGGTGGCCCGATCCATAAACACCTTGGAGGAGATGATATTGCCGAAGGGCAGGAACATCTGTGTCAGCTCCGTGTCTCCAAACTCCTGGGGGAGGTGGTAGATAAACAGGTTACAGCCTTCGGGACCTGCAGGTGGGGGAGAGAAAGACATAAAGCCCCCAAGGAGAGGAGGTGGACCCCCCCCTGGGGGAGGGGCGGGTCTGGACCCACGTCTGGTACCTCTAGTGGTCAGGAAGAAGGGGTCTGGAAATGGGGGGGAAGGGAGGAAAGTCACCCTGAACTCTGGTCTATAATCCCACACTCGGATACTCCAAACCTCTGATAATCCTCAGGCCCCAGATAATTTATAAAATTCAGATGATCCCTACTCCTCCACCTAAACCAAGATAAATCCCAGAAACTCCAAAATGCAGGAAAATCCCTAAACCTCAAACTCCAGATTATTTACAAAAGTCATGTTAACTAGGTGTAGGTATGTGGAAACTATAATCTATCTTTGCAACTATTCTGTAAGTCTAAAACTGGTTCTAAAATAAAATGTTTTTTTAAAAAGTCCGATGATTGCCCTGGCCAGTGGGGCTCAGTTGGTTGGAGTGTCATTCCGTGCACCAGAAGGTCTCAGGTTCGATTTCTGGTCAGCGCACATACCTAGGTTGTGGGTTCGATCCCTGGTCAGGGCTCTTATTGGGGTGCATGCAGGAGGCAACCAGTCGATGTATCTCTCTCACATCGATGTCTCTCTCTCTCCCCCTCCTTCTCTCTCTAAAATCAATTTTTAAAAATAGTAATAAAAGTCTGATGATCATAGAATAAAACAAGACAAGTATCCTCTGGTCCCCAAACCCAAATATCCAGATATATTTTCCAAAAGCTATGGATAATCCTCTTAACTTTGGATAATTTTCAAAACTCAGGTGATGCAAAAATAAAATCAAGTAAAATAAAAAGAGAATTCTCTAGTCCTGAACCCCAGTTATCCTTAAAACACAAATAATTTTTAAATGGTAGACTATATCAACCCAAACTATTTTTTTTTTAAGCATGGCTAACCCTCAAAATCATCCCTTCCCCATATAATCCCAGTGCATGGTTTATATACAAACTATAATTAATACCATTTAAAAACCTGATTGTCTTAGATGGTTTGCCTCAGTGGTTAGAGCATTGGCCTGTGGACTGAAGGGCCCCGGGTTCAATTCCAGCCAAGGGCATGTACCTCCGTTGCAGGCTCAATCCCCAGTCCTGGTTGGGGCAAGTGGGGAATGCAACCAATCAATGTCTCTCTCATATTGCTGTTTCTCTCTCTCCCCCCACCTCCACTCTCTCTGAAAAGCAATGGAAAAAATATCCTTGGGTGAGGATTAAAAAAAAAACAAAAAAAAAACCTGATTGACTTGGGGTGGTGAAAACACAGTACAATATACAGATGATGTATTATAGAATTGTTCACCCGAAACCTATATAATTTTTTTTAATCCTCACCTGAGGATATCTTCCCATTGCTTTTTCAGAGAGAGTGGAAGAGAGAGAGAGAAACATCGATGTGAGGACATATCGATCGGTTACCTCCTCCATGCGCCCTGAATGGGCTGGGTACATGCCCTTGGCCGGACTCGAACCCAGGACCCTTCAGTCTGCAGGTCAACATTCTAACCACTAAGCCAAACCGGCTAGGGCTGAAACCTATATAATTTTATTAGCCAATGTCACCCCAATAAATTTAATAAAAAGTAAAATAAAATAAATCAAAAAATAAAAACCTGATTATCTGAGGCCATGAACAGTTCCCAAACCTTCTCCCATGCTCCCCAAAACAAAGGTAATGGTCAAATCACCGAGAATTGCTCCCACCTTGCAATGAATATTCCCCACCTCAGAAAATACAAAATCCAAGATCACACAATCACACCCACTCCCTTACCTTTCTGATTAGGACCACAGTTCTGCTATAATGCTTGTTTTTAAAATGCGTGTTCCAACGTGATTGATATGTCACGGAACAATTTTGAGCATAACACAAACCCTGTTTTTGCTTATGGGCTATCTCGTCTCCAGGAAACACTAGGTGAATGCAGAAAACCTGGACCCAGATGAACCAAGCCTCATGAGAAAAAAAAAATTCGTGCTCACACACGAATTTTCCGAGCTTCCCTTGCCGTGGAGGGCGACCTGGGGCTTTTCTGGTTGGTCACTTCTCCCCAGCCCCTCCCCCCCACTTCCAATAGCTGGATTAAAGTCCTAAGGGACTCCCCTGTGGTGAGCGCCCACTGCTTACTTCCCGATAACGCCTCTTGGCACAGTCGCCTGTGTTACAGGTGAGGATACTGAGGAATAGGGTAGCCAGGTGCCTTCCTTTTGTCACAAATCAGAAGGGAGTGGATCTGAATTCCAGTTGTCCTACTCCAGAATCTAACTCTTGCATCCCTCGACTTTCCTGGGGAAGCCTCAGTTTACCTGAAATACATCATCACCTCATCCCCAACCTCGAAATGAGTTTCCTCTCCAAAAACTCGAAGGATCATTCCGTTTTGGAGAGGGCACCTCTATGCCTACGGGAGCGAGCGAGCACGGTTCTCACTTTCTGGAGGAGAAAACTGAGGCTCAGAGGGGGGGGTTCAGTTGCCCCCCAAACACCCAGGGACTGCGTCAGGACTTGCACCCAGGCCAGTCCGTCTCCTGGGCAAGTTCTTAGCCGCGCGGTTCCCAGAGGCGTGGCCCGGGGTGGATCCTGTAGGTGACGGGATCGGTCAGAGGGCAGGGCTGGCGCCCACGGGAGGTCGCGGCCCCCTCACCTTCTCGCTGCTGCTGCTGCTGCAGGAGCGGCGGCGGCTGCGGGACGCTGTGCGCGATGGGAGTGATGGCCGCAGTAGGGTACATGGCTGTGGAGACCCGGAGCGGAAGCGGAGTGAGGCCGGTGGGCGCCCGGCGTCGGC